TAAATAAATAAATAAATAAATAAATAAATAAATAAATAAATAAATAAATAAATAAATAAATAAATAAATAAATAAATAAATAAATAAATAAATAAATAAATAAATAAGACGCAGACTTGCAACTTCACTTCTTACCTGATTGGCTTTCGCAATTTGGTCCCTCCCAGTCATAGGACGCACAGACACAAGTATAGTGATCAACCGGATTCGAGTCACCTCCATCTTCACAAACGCCGCCATTTTGACAGGGGTTACTTAGGCACTCTGAAGAAGAAGTAACACAATTTTGACTGCATTACAAATAATAAGGTGCACGTGCATGGAAATGTTATTGTCCGCCAGGTAGCGATAGAGGTGTTACACAGTAGTGGTGTTAAGATGAATAAATCGTTGATCAAGCTTGATAAAATAAAAATGCAGGCCATACAATACATAATTTAAACATATTGGCCCAAGACTATAATGACGACTTTAGAATATAACTACAGAAATCTGAGTCTACCTTCACGCTCATTGTTTTATCTTCTATGCAAACGAGACCTAACTCATCGATTCATTTTCTTATGATGCTACATAGATTAAACAATTTAATCAGAAAAGAAATATGTATAAACGCCCCTTTTCCAACTAACAGAAGGAATTCTAACACTTTATTTTTAAAAGCGTTCATGGGTTTATGTCTTTATTTATATTTTATTTTATACAATTACACTTTTATATTACTTTATATCGATATAATTATTAAGACAAAATATGAATATATAGTATTATAATTTGTTAAATATATGAAAGCCATATTAGTATATAAAGGGGTTTTTCTTTTTCCATGTGGTAAACAGACTACCGACGTGGTGCTGGATATAACAGAGCACATATTCTGAAATATGCTATACTAACAGATGACAAATGCAGCAGTGATAAGATGTGTCATACTATGACGTAGGTAGCTGATATGGTATATTTCACGGTGGCCGTATATTGTAGTGGTTGTAAGTGAATAGCTCGGTATATTGATGATTAGATGTCCTTTGGTGGTCTACTGAGAGTTGTAAATTATGATGGATTACGTGGTGGATGCGAGGGGTAGTATTAGAAGTAAAAGTAAAAGTATTAAATGCATTCCTATCACAGAAGTTTGCATTCAACTTCAAGCATACATGCGTGACATTTGATGGATGGGGTCAGTCGATTCAAAAGAGCTTGATAAAAGGGCAATAGTTCAACAACTTTCGGGTAATTATATATTCAGTTTTGAGACATAGTTATTGTTAGTAGCATTATTTATACGAACAGAGTATGCATTCGTTCGACTTTCTAAAGATTCAACGGCAATAAAACGGCTGACAATTGTTTGGCTTCAATGATTACTTTGAAAAGAATTCAGAATGACACGCTTGGCTTCAAAAGAGGTATCTATTTATGGCCTCTGGATGTACACTCACGCATGACCCCCAGTACAGAAATGGTGTCGGCAGAGTCGTCTGGGCGTTGGTTGAGACAAGTATAAGGGGAGCAGGTGGAATGACACAAATCATTACTAACTAGTAAAACACAATGCATATACTCAGTTAAGCCAAACACTGTGCTATTTGTTGCCTTGTTGACTGGCATATTGACTGACAATGACTGACACTGACTGCCTGCCTAACTTACTGACTAATCTACTCACTCTTGGTAAATCATCGAAAGACTGCCTGTTACCATGGCACCATAGCATTGAAACCATTCATCGACAAACTTTTCGTATAACATGGAGTTTTCTTTAGTTGTTATTATTGTATAAAACCACAATCACATTCAGAGTTTTATGAAATGTGGGACAGTAGCGTTCAGTATATGCATAACTGTAGTTTGCGTTAACAATGATAAGTGATTTAACAAGTGGTTGGTTAAGAACCTATAAAATAGTACTTACTATATGTTTACAGACTTACCTCCATCAGCCAAAGTGCTTCTGAAAAGGGTGACAAAAAGAAGAGCTGAACACAGACTGGTGCGAAGGAACCTCATCTTGCTAGAGAACTAGAACACGTATGGAATGATGCTAAGATACGACTGAGTTAAAAGAAGACCTTCGTCTATTGTCATCACATGTGTAAATCACTTTCTCCTGCCAAACATACCTGTCTTTTCATTGGTTTCAATGTAAGGTTAAATATTTATGACCTTTTGGTGCAGTGTTGGCTGCCCAAGTAAGACGAATCACGTCGCCCACGATTTTGTGGATGCATTCACTGATTGAATAATCAGCCAAGATCGGCGCAAGGAATATCAGCTATGTTGAAGTGTGGTCAACACAAAATATTTCTTCTCATCTGAGAAGAATCGTAAATTTTGAATTTTATTAATAAATGTTTGCGTGTATAGCTAAAGATTGTAGGAAATTGTCCTACTTATAGAACAGGTAAACTTTTATCTTTTCAACGAATATTTAAGCCAGTCGGTGAAACTCATACAAGCCGGTTTGCTGATTGGCGGTCAGTGTGAGGATGCAAACAACCATTTTGTTAGCCATGGCAACGGTGGGACAGGATTTGTTGTAATTTTATTTCACTCAACTAGAGTGCAGGTGTGACCAGCCTAACAACTTTGAACAAAGTCGGCCCAAGCAAAAAATCAATCACAAAACGTAAATATATACAGACACACAGACAAGCCGACCTGATGATACGTTGGACCGACTTCAGAAAATGATTTTGATTGGAAAGCGTCTTCCATAGAGTTCATTATTAACACCGCTGTTGAACCAATGGAATTGAGTGTAAATAACGAATTAGGCTAGCAATATAGTTTGCAGTTTTTGTTTGTATTAGAATGTTCATACGTAGAGTTGGCTGTAATCATCATCGCAGAGATGTTGCATATTATCATTGATTGAAGAATAATATCAACCCAGTCGAAAAACTAGCTTTGACTGAAAAACAAAATAGTAACTTTAAAACAGATCACATATCACGAAATTTTTACTCAAAACATGTTTACGACCAAAGCGTTGGGGTTTTGGGCGTTGCCATTGCAACGGAGCAGATTTTATTTCAAATTCCCTCATCCAACCATAGGTGTTATCTGCCTGTCAAGTCTGAACAAAACCCCCAGCCAAAAATCACAGAAAAGTGAAAATACCGTTTATGACAAAAAAGTTACCTCAACTTCCGGGGCAAATTTCTTAGCAACGAAGAAAGAATGTAGGTTTGACCTGACTGTCAAGGGTGAACGTAATCGGCCCAGCCCCCCCCCCCAAAGAAAAATACTTAATACACAGATACTGACGTAGCTAGTGCAGTCCTAACTCTGATCGCTAATAAATGCCTGTGAACTAATCTTAGCACGGATGACAAGCGTGCGAGGTCCCTCAAATTGTACTGAAAGTATGTGAGTGTGGTGGTATTTTCAATTTCTTACTTCTGCACTCATAACATAGATTTCGTCCCATGGGATGTGTACACTTTCAAGGCTTCGTCAAAACCTTTACGAGTCTAGCCCTTGAGGCAGTTAATATGCAAAAACTATTCATCTTCTTGTTGTAACAACATCGTGATAATATTTATACAAAGTGTGGGTTCCGACTCTAACAACAGTATCTTATGTTCGTAGACACCGGCCCCTATTATTTGTATTTAATATGTCAGAAATGTACTGCCCAATTTGAAGATTTCTAAAGTAGTCTGAAAAATGAAATAAGTCTAATTGTGCCCATATATGTTTGTATTGTTTTTTGCAGTAATAAGACTGAATGCTTGTTTATCAGTATCTTAGTTAATATACTGCCTGGATGATTGCAATGGTATACAAATTCTTCTTTACTTTGTCTAAGTACAGTATATTTCTTTTACAAATGTTTTTTTATGTGGGGGCATATAAACGAATTCATGCACCATGGCCATTTAACAATGATTTTAAGTGCCTCTATCCACTCAAGGGGCACGCTCAGAAAGGACCATTGTTCTAAAAATAAGAATGAATTGAACACAATTGCACACCGTGACTTCGATGTTTCAGTTTCTTGATGGCGCATTCTTCTATCAGGAGATCAACATGGAAACAGTTAATAAAGCTATTTCATATACGTTTACTGTCATCCTGATTGTACTGTACTCTTCGTTCTCATTTGGTGGATGTGTTTGTTTAAGAAGTTCAAGTCTATTGACCTTGGGAACCAGTGAACGTCTTTCATTCAAGACTCGGCCGACCATGAGCGGCATATTAAAGGCATTCTCTTTACCTCAAATGAAAACATTGTAATAATTACTGAATGGTTATCCTCAAACATCGTCCCTTGAGATTTAAAAGTAAAAGTGCACTCTCCATAACAGACCTGGTTATTTATGGCACTGGTATTTACCTGACGATAAAGGAGGCAAGGTTATTTCAGAAAGTGTTAGAGGTTGACCAAGAACACATACATCTTGTGTGTGTTCAAGGGCTGGACACACTCCAGTTATTCACGTTTGCCCTAAATATCTCCACTGAATGAATTACTCAAGTATCCTGAAGGGGGAACTACATGATGCCGCTTAAGCCTATCACAAGTTCCAAGAGAATAGGATTACATCGTATTGAACTGAAAGAGTTAACTATAAGCAGTATTCTGATAATAGCCAATGTAATATATGTATTAGCACTGTACTATTCGTGACCCAACTATAACTATCAGCCAAATCACATGTTAATATTCTAATAGCCAATCTAACAGATTTATTATTACCACATTGCAAAACTGTTATCTAGGACGGATCACGCCAACTTGGAGACGTTTCTGACTGTGAGTCACAGAGACCAACGACCGAGGATATTCCAGTAAGAACAATCGGGGGAACGGTGGTTACAAGACTTAAAGCACACACTTACGCAAAACAATTGTTTACTCTTTTAAAATTGAGGAGAATGCACTCGAACTTTCATCTATAAGAACGGGAGCCCATCGCATCTCATCTCCTCAGTTCTATCTGTCAGAACCACACTCAATTGATGGTAGTTTCGAAAATAAACTTCGCATTGAACAATATGAACACATCGACAAAACATAATAATTTATCTTATATTGTTATGTTATATTTTGTTGTACAATGTTACAATTGGCAATCTTTTAGTATGTATGTATCACCATTCATTTATCCAGTAACATTACCCAGCTTCATGTGCTGATGTGGACATGGAATAGTTCAAACATGAACTGTACTTATTATAAATAAGTTGCTATCAGTAAGGCAATCAGCATACACATAAGACATACATGCAATTTAGATGACATCTTTTATTAGTTATTGTTATAAAATATTATTAAAGTTTCACAAATAAAATCATTACAATGTCAGAGCCAACATTTACCAGCATTTAAGATCAGACAATACTTTTTGCATAGTTTAATTCATCAAATATTACAAAATGAGATTAGACAGATGCGTATGAAATCATCACAAAACAATTCTTTGTTAATATTAAATCTCCAAATTGGTATATCCCTGACCAGAGTTTATTTTAACAATATTGAGCAGCAAAATAGTTATATCAAGAATCAGGATACAACCTTTCAACCTTAATTAGCAGCAACTCTATGTTCTGCATGTCCCTAATGTTTAATTACATAACCTGTGATTATAAAACATGTGAATAAATTTTTGGATTCATGGATTTTCTTTCAAATGTCGTTTTTTGAATTTCATTTTTCCCAAATTCTGTTATCGCCTAGCAACAATACTTCGTCAATGAGAATATCAAAATAGTAATTGGACCTTCAAAAGACGAGATTCATAAAACCAAAAATAATAAAGCTCATGTGTTACAATAATTGTTTGAACTGTTTTAACAATATTATAGTTCATATCAATAGCAATGTATCTGAGATATGAGAAAACACCGTGACCATTACATTAGAAACCAATGTCCAAATAAAATGAGAACGAGAATTTATAAAATATACATTCAGTAATTCCACTAGGATTTTCAAATATCTACTCGACTATCGATATGGACGATATTAGTGTTAATAATAAACTGAATAGATAATAAGCCATTCTCCTTTCACTGCGAGATCCCGCGTTATACGCGAAATCGAACATAAAAACTAAAACTAGGAAAGGCCATGGCGTCGCAGTGAAGTCAAAAAATCACGTAGTATTAAATTAACGCGAACGTTCAATAATGTGCTATACATATTTGATGATAACAATTCTAATGAAGTAAAGGTATCTCAACGTCCTGTTCCCATCTGAAAGATTGATGTTTGACATTGAAATATAAAATTCAAGTTCAAAATCAAATCATTCGATTTTTGCGCCAGAAGTTCGATTCACGCATAGCGCGAGATCTATTAGAGGTTCTATATTATGAAATATTGCTCTCTCGTTTGCCGATTTTTCCTGTCATTGGTACCTGTAGTATTTTTTCCTGATTTCTCCTTGTGCACATTACCTCCCATTTTTCTAATGGTTCACCCCTGAGACAGATGAACATATTATGTGAATGATGTTAAGTCCCTGCGTACAATATTACGGTACAACTTACCGCGTCTGATAAAAGTGTGACTGATATGTTGTAAAATGGGTGCCAATCCCGAGCATGTATTTGTTAGCGTGAATACCATAACACCTGTGTAAAATGTACGTTACCCTGGGTAACCACTACAGTTCATCCAATCTTCTTGGTGCTAAGCTTTGCTTATTACGAGTCCATAGATCTCGACCAATCCTAAAAAAAGACAATGTAACATTTAGATTTGATTTATATTTTGTAATATTGTGGGCATCTTTGTCAATCAACTAATTATTATCAAATCAGAGATAAAACCATTTCATGTATGCACACGAATACACTGTGTGGTAACCTCTCGTTCTTATGCCCCTAGCGGCCAAGAGTGGGATTGTCTACAATATTCACACTATAAATCCGTTGGGTGATTTATATACAATATTCATCTGCCTTTGTTTTGTTTCAAGTGTTATTTGCACAATGGTATACCGTCATGATTATAAGAGGCGTTTGTTGTAAGACACAATACTTAGTAATCTTAATTGAATCAGGAAACATGACAAAAATACAATGCAAACAGTGCAAAATCTGCCAGAAGATACTAAACTCGGTCACGCAAACAAAATTAATGGTCTATACTGTTAGACAGTGGTATTTATTATCACTATTATTGATCATTAGGCTGTTACATGTAGGTTTATATGGTTATACAGTTTGTTGACTACGTCATCAAACCGTCCTAGAAATATGTTTCCCTTTGTAATGATAATCTAGTAAGTAAATTTGCTGTGATAGTGTTGTGATCTCATTCAAAGAAAGGCTGTTGGTCAGAAATTGGGATATGGGAGAAAAGATTTTCGTTTTGATGCAAATTATAGAAAAAATACCGGTATTTGAAAAACGTGTGGTACAATGTTTTAAAGAATGTGAAAAAAATATATGGGGGCTTATTTTATGAAAGGCAACAACAGTTGACTTTCGCCATGGCAACATCTAGGGTACTATGATGCGTGTTGTGCTTTGGCGTTCAATGTCAATACCAGTGTACTATGGTGCGTGCTTTGTGATACGTACTTGTTGGTCAAATAACTTTCTCTACAGCTGTTTGCTTTGTCGCTTGTTATCCATGTTGTAATCAATACTTCACTTCCGTCACAGAGTTCACATTGTCCAGTCCAACTTGTAGTAGAATCACCGTCGTTGAAAATTACGGTGAACCCAAAGGTAGGTAAAGGTGTGTTAATTGCCGAATAACCGAGCACTATATTAGCACCTATATAATAAACAATATGTCATAATACATTTATCATTTATTTCAAAAACAGCCCAATACAGTGTAAAACACATTGTCATACAATCTCTCGGTTATAAAATCATTGTTCCAATTAAACACCAGATCTAGAGGGTGATGTTGTATGCTGATCTACATCTAGAGTAGTTGTTTTGTTGGAAATTTTATCTTCATAACATATATACCGGGTTACACATCTGATGAAATCCTTCAAGGAAGTCTCTATAACACACTGCACATACATTGTATACGTTCGCTCAAAATCCAAATTGTCAGCACTTTAACCATTAGTACTAAAAATATGGGAGATTCCAAATAAGAAATTGATCCAACCCGATTCCTATTATAAGACGCATCACACGATACGACCAGATGTCCTGGCGAGAGACTGTCGCGTGGGACAATTATTTATTAAATTTGGCAATGTGAACCCAAGCACCCATACATAAATGTTATATCCCATGTTACAAATTACTATATGAGGGGAGATAGTAGACACAGTAGGCAAGCGATATTTTGATTTTTTAAAACGATGTTGCAGTGAATGTTGTTTGCTCCCCCATCAACCTTTATATCAAATGATTTTATCTTCTTATGTTCCTATATATCATGTGACATTTTGTTCAATAGAATCTAACACTCGCTCGAATCAAAAATCGCCAGTTAATCACATGCATAAATTATAATTAATGTATATTAAGTATTATTATAAGTATTTTCAAATGTATAAATAAATTTAGCACACCTGCATCGTATTCAAGAGCATTTTCCAGAGCTGATGTATAACTACCAAGTAACATCCCAGTCGGAGTTTGATCTATGCTGATTTCATCACCCAGCTGATTATACCATACACCATTCAAATCGCAGAATGTAACTGCAAAAGTAGAGGAGTCATCATGATAAATGGACTGACTTGCAATCTCACTTAGTGAATTAATGTATGTAGCGCTAAGCCAATCAGCGCTTGCATTGCAGGCATGCATCCCCGTACAATATGTGGTATCCAATCACCAAACTCCCATGATGATTTTCTAGTACGCATGCGTAGCGGACAGTACTATAGTATACACATGCAGTAATGTTAAATAAACACTTGGTAGGCATTAATACAATCTGAACCTGGAAATGGGACACACATATGCATATGACGTAGTGTCACTATTACAATATGTCCCCTATTCACGTAAGTTAATTTTACTGACCTATTTCACAGTTAGTTCCAGTGTATCCTTCGCGACATGTACAAGTGTACATTGCTGGTAAGTTATGACAAGTACCACCATTTGCACACGGTAGACTAGAACATTCATTGATATCTACAGAACAAAAACATAAAGAGAGTTTATATGTGGATTAGTAGACATCGTCTCCCCGTTCCAGTCACTGCTTGTTCTATGACCTCGACGCAGTGAAGCATGGGTGTATCTAGGACACTCTTCTGAATAATGGGTTTGGTGTGTGGTTTGTTACTGACCTTATTCGGTTACAATTGTGTGCGGCTTCAATCCCTGTTTTGAACCTCAATAGTAATTCAAACGCTGTTGATTCTATTATATTTTCTATTCTAAAGTGTAACTTTTAAAGTAGTTTTATACATGTCATTTTATTTTACTTTTGAGAGCTCTGGAAAGAAAAATTATTCTGGGGTTTACGTAGTTACCCCATTAAATGCCCAGTACTCTTTAATGGAGACGGGCTAGAAATAATTCGTCCAACCATGTCAGATACTGGTCAGTAGACGTCAACCCTAATTCGTATTTGGTTTTACTAGATTTACTAGCTAAGATTTCCCCCAAGGAGGGATGTGGGCTATATAAACGAAATGTTTATGCGATAAAAGACGTGAAATATTTCTACCTAGTTTGTAGTAAAATGATATTACATAAAAATACCTATTTGACAAGTGCGACCAGTATAGCCAGGTGGACACTGACATGTGAAACCACCAGTACCATCTGCGATACATTGACCATTTGTACACGGATTGTTAGCACATGGATCGAGATCTGCAATGATATCATATATGCAATAAATGTAATAATAACGATAATCGGGTGAAACTTCCTTGCAATTTCTAAATTTAGGGAAAGTATTAGATACACACGTTACGGGTTATATGAAATCGAGTTATACATATCGAGATTTTTTCCTGACACTTCGATCGATAATTCTTTGTAATGTCGTGCCTTTTTTGCGATAATCTCCGGAAACATGGCAGGGAGTCAACCTTTCGAATTCATGGGGGGGGGGGTGATCGCGTTGTCTTGACAGTATAATTTCATTTTTACTGAATGTTGCAACATCTTACCTAGATTGCAATTTTTAAGACACCTTCCAGCCACCCGATGAGGATAGATTGCGTCTATATAAATAAATTTATTCATCATAAAATAAAAAACAATGTTTTAGCTGCATGTTAAAAATAAGTACTTACTTATTTCACAGTTGTCACCAGACCAGACAGGAGAACAAACACATGTATATCCATTTACACCATCAACACAGTTACCACCATTGAAGCATGGATTGGGACTACAGTCATCAATATCTATATATAAAATAGTTGCGTAAATTTCAAATTTGATAAACCAAACTTTATAAGTTTTTTTTTATTATTTACGATTTAGAACATAGAAGAATGTTTCTGGTAATACGTACTTATTTCGCAGTTGGGACCATCAAATCCTACTACACACGAGCACGTATATCCATTAATACCATCGGTACAGACAGCTCCATTTAAACAAGGGTTACTCGCACACTCGTCGATATCTATAAGTGTATACATTATCTTATTAGAGTAAATGAATTAGTATGTTTAACCAGACTGGATAACAACTATGTAACTATGTCGGGCAACCCTGTGGAAGAGTTGTTATATAAAATAAAATAAGCACTTTCTAGGTCTACGTCATGTGCAAGGCGGCAAAATGCAGTATAAATTCTTGATGGGAATAAATTAGTGGTGAATAGTTCTTCAAATTTAAGAAAATTGTTCATTTAATTGAAGCAGATAACACTCTAACAGATGTATTATTTTGTAAACATCAACTTCTTGCAATTTACAGTGATAGTTCAGTCATTTTCCAACGTCATGATGAACAAGACTACACTATGTACTCAATGTAACCTATGTTTGAACTATTATATTAACTACAGGTTTTACTCGACATATAAACAGACAACAAAACACATGGGTCATTAGCTTTGTGTGTAGTTAGGTGGAATTACGTATGTTAAATTATGTAGATTAGGTAGAATACGTTCCGGGCGGGTGTTGAAGTATGCACTAAACATGGTAAAAATATTAGTATACACAATTTCGTATGATGTAAAGATCCAGTGTTATATAAGTTATTCATTAATATAACGGACATGTACTTACTAATTTCGCAGTTGACACCAGTCCATCCCGCAGCACATTGGCAGGTGTAGCCGTTGATACCATCTACGCATACTCCTCCATTTTGACAAGGGCTACTGTCACATTCATTCGTATCTGAAACATTATAAAACATGATAATAATGAGTTAACGTTCCGTTTTATTTAGGCTTGTTCATAGTCACTAACATAGTCCTCTAAATATATCTATCTATCACATGACTATTTCAGCAGCTAAATGTTTGTAGTAACGTGTTGCGATAGTTTGTATTCACGAGCATACGACCGTTAATGGCTTAATCGATCACAATATCCCAAGCTCATCAGAAACCCACTACATAAACCTGAAAGCAACATCTATATGACGGCTATCAGTTATAAGACGAACATCGTTATCATATGATACATCGACTTACTTATGCCACAAGTCTGTCCTATGAATCCAACCAGACATGTACATACAAAGCCGTTAATTCCATCAACACAAATGCCGCCATTTTGGCATGGATTACTCGCACATTCGTCAATATCTACCAGGAAGATAAAAGATACAAACGATATTTACATGTATTATCAAATAAGCAACTGTCATAATTGAGTATTTTCGAATATTTAGGTTTGCCGCAGCGACAGTTGGATTCAACATTTTGAATATATGCAAAGGAATATGCATATTTAATGAACACGTGACTACAAGAAGGGTAGTTATTTTGTTCAATACATTTTTCCAAAAAATATAATATTCAAGTTAACGATTTTAGTAATTGTATCATTTCACCATGTATTTGTATATAAAGTATCTCACGAACTCTCCACGTGTTAGTATTTGAATGTTTTTGTTTTTCTCCCAGGCTAGCTGTGGGATACTCTATTACAGATACACATTCACTACTAATTGTTTATTGTGCGCATAGAGGCGGAAGATCTCAGCTGGTCATGGTCATTAGTTAAATCCCAGACAATTAATATTAATATTATTAGTTGTCTGAGATTAAACACATATTTACTAAGTGAGATTTGTGCACATAGTTGAAACGATTTAGATAAGCTATTAGCTGGTTATGGGACTTCATTAATTAAACACATGTCTAATTTTTAGAGATCTATTATAGATATACATTTACTAATTGGACTTTGGGCACACGGATGAAGCGATTTTTATTTTTTTATACTACAGCTGGTCATAAACTATGCACATATCTATTGTAAATATGCTTTTACTGATACTTAAAATACTTCTATTTTGATGAGAAGGAGTGTGTTTTAGTAAGCTCTGACATATCCATAGCAACATAATACAACATTCTCTCAGCTGCAGTCCGATCATTGCTGCTTGCTGCTATATTTATGTATGTTATTGCACCTAAGAAGAACGCGCTTGTGTCACCGAATCGCACGGTTTCGCTAAAGACTACCCCAGACCATTCGTCCCGGTGTTATCGCTATCGCCACACGAGACTCCAGCTTGTCTCCTATACAATTTTCCTTCCGCCCACTTAATTTTAATATTCATATGACCTTTACACTGACATCGATAGCCAATCGCATTCGACCGCGGACGTCACTCTAAATAAACAACTGAATAAATTAATATACCATATTTGGAAGATAGCGGGTAAATTCAACGTTGTTGGTGTGTTCCTTCGGGTTCCGAAGTCGCACGAAACGAGTTCATGTTCCGTTATCTTTCGCAAGTAAAACAGGTCGATATGTATTAAACATGGCATTTGTTTTCTTGTTTTAACCCCCTTATTACGCAAGCTTCCGTCGAAGTGGTGTTTTTTTCGACGATTTGTGGCATGTTGCAAAACGAACGAAACATTGCGGCATTCTTAGCGGTGGATAAGGGATCGACTATGTCGTCACATTTATGTCTCGTTTGAAAGAGAATAAACAACCGCTCAGAAAAATATGTTGCTAATATTTAAGTGCGGTGCCTTGAAATCGCCTGCCCGACGTCCAAATTTCAAAAGGATGTTCGATTTGCAATGACGACCGTTCATATGTACTAGGCGACGTTACTAATTACTACTAGGGTCGGTGTTTGCATTAAGAATTATAGAACAAAAGATCAGCAAAGCGGTGCTTTTGTCGGCGATTTTGTCAAAGGGAATATTGAT